TTAGCATTACTGGTTTATCTGGTAAGTTGGCCTATTAAATACTATTGAGTACTTTATTACAGGCCAGATTTGATAACTGCCTTCAGCTGCCCCAGAAAATGGGAGCGGCTGTTAATTATTTGTCAAAGGTTTCACTGCCACAGCAACGAAGAAACACTTTGAGAGTCTGTAAGTCCATCTTTCTCTTCCGAAAACAAATGTCTTTTTGATTATAGGAGCTCAAAACTACACACAAATCCAGGAGGCACACTCACCACCATATAAGCAGTTATCTTCTCCAACTGCTCATTCAAGGAAGTATTTACACTTAACATTCAAAGCACTCTCCCACAACCCATCCAGCTCCACAGACGGTAATTGCGCCCCATTCATCTTACCTTGATTTTGGCCTACTTGTTTTCTATCTGAGCTAAATGCTAAAGCAATGAGTGTTTCCTACAAAGAATACAAGGATTTTCATCAACTTTTCTGGTAGGATTTGGTTAACAGTGCCAAATTACCTCACAGATTACATACCCTTCTGATAATACCCCCATTATATCTCTTGAGTTATTTATACAAAATATTTCCACAGATGCAAGAAAAGTCAAAGAAATGCAGCTATGTAATACTAAATGTTATATACCTGAAACGAATCTAATATTGCATACTATTATTTAATTTAAAAAATTCACAGCCACAATATCCATACTTATGGTCTGGCATTGATTTATGAACCTAAAGTGTTCTTTTTTAAACTAATATGACCTACTAACATTATCATACTTTCAATGTATCTTCTCTTATCACTCTGGGAAAGAAAAAAAATTGCTGCAAAGTTGAATATACATTCAAAATTAGTTTTATCAAGTTAGCAATAAATTGACTTTGATGATTAGAATCAGCAACCATCTTTTAAAAATTGCACACTTCTTCCCCCCACATTACAAATCTTTAAATCTTTTCTTTGGGGGGATGGGCTTTTTTTCCTCATTGCTAATACTACTACTAGTGGGTTCTAGTATTATAAATCTTATATCTGAATTTTCCTAGCAAATAAAAATAACTGATCAGACCCAGACCAAACACTACACAGGAAAAGTCAGGCAACCAAGTGGTAAGAGAAAGCCTTTCAAAACAGAAACTTTATCTGTAAAATGGGGAGTCTACAAACAGAACCACCTGCTGAAAATTTTCACCTCTTGGTTCAAACTCTCTAAACTCCTAGTCCAAAGGCAGTAATTTTTCACATTTTCTGTAAAATGGATGGCCTTAAAACTCTTGCTCCCTGGTCTAGCTTTTCAGAAGGAAATGAGTTTCCTTAAAAGAATGAATCTAGCTTCCCTTGACTCTTAAAGACAACCATCTTCCATATTTCTTCAAATCACAATAACATGTTAAATGTCTTTTTTAATTTAACAGTTGTTCCCTTCAACTGAAAGGTCAAATACTATAAAGGCTCTTCCTTCTGAGACCTTTGTGCCCAAAGCTTACAAAGGTCCTCTGGGCGGTGCCTGGCCCTGGTTCTGGACACTCAAATGGCACTCGCTTTGTTTCTCATTTGTCTTACCCTCAGCATGACACTTCGGGGGCAATGAACATAAATAAGATGGTTTACAACCTTACAGTGTCCATCTAACGCAGCTTTAAACTTTTCTATTCCTATCCAGTTCTTTAGCTTCTGCAGTAGTTTGTGAGGTAAACTCTTCACACGACTGTTCACAAGCCCAGATTTCCCCACCCCCTCTTCCTTCATCACCATTCATGTGATAATGCCTCCTCGATGGGAACACCTCATCTCACCTTTGTCTCCGCAGGTCCATTTGCTTCCTTCCTGAGCTTCAAAGGTAGGCCAGGGCCCTCGAGACGTGGCCAGTGGGCACTCTGGGGCTGGCAGAGCCACCCGCACCTCCTGGGGTGTCCCTTCTCCCACCTGCCACCTGAACACTCTTTCCTTAAATATTTGCCCCTAAAAGTCCATCTAACTCTGAAAGAGGATGGACCAGCTATTCCACGAGCCCTTTGTCTGAGGCTTCCATACCTCACATTCTTATCCACAAAGCGCTGGTCCTCACACAGGTAGGGGGTCGGCTCTGCACAGGGAAGGGGAGCCTAGGTTTCCGCGTCCAGTAAAGGGATGGGTTAGGGCCGAGGTCCTTCCAGGGGCCAAATTTCTACAATTTTACGACCAAACTTGCAGGTACTATTTCTGAGGTGGGGAGGGCGAACTCCGGGCGACCCCCGAACTCCGCACTGCTACTGGCAGTAAGAACGGCCCCCTCCAGCCCAAGTTCTGTGTATCCCCGCCTCCGACCTCGGGCGCCGGCCGTGGAGGAGGCCCGGCCGACGCCTGCTCGCAGCCACGCCATGCCCTCCTCCATCCTCACCCGCCGCCGCGGGCCGCCTCTCACCTGGCACGCTGGCATTGCCTGTCCTGCTCCGCACCGGAGCCCATAAGGTCTGGACGGGTCTCGGCGGCCACCAGCCCCCCGTGAGGGAGGCTGGCAGAGCCCCCGAGTCTAACGCGCCGCCACCGGGAACGCGCCGCCTGGTTTCTAAGGAACCGGGGGCTGTGGAAAGGGAGGGGCGGGACGGCAGGAGTGCTGCGCATGCTCCCTGACGGGGTGGACTCGCGCTGGGAGGGGCCGTGACCTGGAGGTGCGCATGCTCGTTCGTCGTGGGGCTGGGGAGGGGGGGCGTGGGGGGCGAATTAAGTAGCCATGCTGGAGGCCCTGGTCATTCATTTCCGGCGGAGGAGGCGACCGAGCGTGTGGTCTTCCATCCTCAGCTTCCTTCTAGTTTGCTGCCCGGCGTCAAGAGCAAGGAGGTTCTGGGATCTGTGATGGTTCTTGGTTTTCCTGGAATGAAGGTCTGCCAGTTCCGACTCCTAATGACTCCCGCTTTTCTGTTCTCTCAGGAGCCTAGTCTGGGCTCCTCTCCCTGTGGATGGTCTTTGGTTGTTCTGAGATATCAGTGCTCTTCAGAACTGTGACCTCCGTCTCTCTGATCTCTTTACTGGAGCCTACCCCCGCTCTCCCCCCCAATATAATTTTGTAACAAGACTATCCTTTGGTTCATCAGACTGTCCCCTAGGGGAGTGAAACCTGTAAACCTTAGTGCAAAACAGGCTATGTTGGAAATGTGGGATTAGGGGTTATTTCTGCATGGGGAGACCCCACCCTGCTTTTCTGACTTTCCTGGTGAGTCTGGACCCCTGGAGGGTGTCCCAGCCATCTTTCCAGAGCAGCCTGTAATGACAGAACATGCTCAGTTGAGCTGAGGCAGTTGTTCCCACTGAGACCTGCTGACAAGCAGGACTCTGCTTGCTTTGGCAAGAGACAGGATTTCCCGCCACCGTTGCCCTTTGTGAGCATGGAAGGCTTCCAGAATAATGAGAATTTGTAACCTCTAGCCCCTTTTCTGATGGGGTTTTATCCCCCTATTCCCTCCGCCTGGCTTGTGAACTTTCAGGCACAAAGGAGGCAGAATCACAGTGTGCTTATGTTTGATGTTTCTTAGTCATTGTTCTGTTTCACTCTAGAGCAGGGCTTCTCAGCAGCACTGTTGACATTTTGGGCTTGATAATTCTTTGTTGTGGCAGGCTGTCTGTGCATTGTAGGATGTTTAGCAGCATCCCTAGTCTCAACCCACTGGATGCCAGTAGCACCCCAACCCCAGCTTTGACTATCAAAAGTATCTCCAGACATTGCCAAATGCCCTCTTGGGGGCAAAAGTTGGTCCCAGTTGAGAACCACTAGTCTAGAGGGAAATTAATCTACTTTAGCTTTATTTATGAAACCTGGACATTTGTGCTTATCTAATACTTCCCTCTTCCCTCTACACTAGCTTTTCCCCTAAGAGTTCTGTAGAGTAATAGTCCTGTAAAATGCCCGAGTGAAACATTCTACAGTAATGTAAGTTTGGAAAGTACTGGGTTAAGCTGCACATCTTAACAGGATTTAAATAGCTGGTAATGTTCACTGTGAGCATCTGTTAACAGTTTTCCTTTTATAAAAACTGGACCACACAACCCTTTTCCAGTTCCAGGAACCATGTCTCTCTGAGATACGGATCCACATGCTCTCCAGCAAACCTCCCCACTCCGGTGACTTTTAGCCCCCACCTGTTTTTTTGTTCCCTGGACTATCTTGTGGCACCATTACCCATCCCTTCACCCCAACCAAAAGCCTACATTTGCCTTGTCTCTTCTTTCATTTCCCTCACATCCAGTTACTCATCCTGTTGTGCTCATTTATCTCCTAAATATTTCTCAAACCTGCCCTCTTGCATCTGGCCTACTGCAATGGCCTCTTAGCTGGTTTGCCTCCAATCTGTTTCCAGTCCCCCCTTCAGGTAGACACCAGCATAAGCTACTGTATCCCTCCTCTGCATAAAACCCTGGTCCCTTGGAAGCAGGGGAGGCAGAATGAGGCAGGAGCAGGCCAGTCACGCCAAGGAGCATCCTCAAGGAGGCAGGGCAGTCACATGTACTGCATCCCTATGTGCCAAGCACTGCCCTATGCATGCTAGAATCTTCTACCACCATGGGTAGAATTGACCACATTTTAAGGATGGGGAAACTGAAGCTGAGAAAGGTTAATTTTCCAGGGTCACCCAGTTAGTAAACAGAACTAGGGTTTTCAGGACAAACTTTTTCTCCTCAGGCTGACAGGAAGCTAACTTCAATACCTCTCAGAAGAGCCTTTTTTATTGTCCAGTGTTTGGGGTGAACGTATTTGGAATGTATTAAAATCTTATTTTGAGGGGAGGAGGTCCTGTGGCCCATCTTTTTGAAGCTGAATTTGCTTTCTCTTTGTCATAGATGAAAGCTATTTTGGGGGAGAGGATGGAAGCTAAGTACCTATCTTCTTGGGGGTCTTGTAAACACCCAAAGTCTTGAGGGTCCTTGAGGACCAGGGGCCTAGGCACTGAAGAGGCAGGCTGAGAAGTGGACAAACCCTCCCGGTATGCCACACAAGGGGTGGCCACCCCAGTAAGACTCAAAACAGACGAGACACTCATGACTGCTCATGGATGTGTATTTTAATAAAAATAGTTCTGTCAAAATACAACAGGAGTTTTTTCATCTCTCAAGTACAATTTAATAGGATGTTTTGTGTTAGAATTCTCTCTAAACCCTCCCACACCCACAAGTTTCATGCTAATGCCAAGTATCAACTTGCGAGGACAAAGGCAGAACCAGTGTGCACAATGTGGAGGAAGTCTGTATCAGCTGTAGTTACTAATGGAGGAAAACCCTATGCAAAGAGGCGGCACCTCAGGCAGCCAGAGTCCATAATCTGGCCACAGGTCCGGGTGCATGGGACTGGTGGTCAAGTAGGGCTCTGCTGCCCAGCTGCCACCCAGAGTGCATACCTGAGTTGTGAGCAACCATAGAACTTTCAGCTCTGACAGTTCTCTGCCTCATCTTCTTTGTGCTTGCTTAAGGGGGAGGACGGTGCTGGGTGGCCAGCTGGGCAGTCCCCACTTTTCCATCTCTTGGTGTCCCCTGTTCTGATGGCCTGCACCCAGCAACAGACCCATGTAGGTGAGGATCAGGGTTCTGGCTTTCTTTTCGTGGTCTGCCAATTTCCATCCACTCTGGAAGGAGCAATCATTTGGTGGCACAAGGGGAAAACGTAAGGAAGGCTGCTCCCCTAGGGCTGGACAACCCCACAGGGCTAGGTCTTCCTCCTGACCCCTTGGGTCAAGTCCAGCTCTTCACCGGGGCTCCTCCCAGGTGCCTTCCCCACTCAGCTCCCAGAAGCAGGCTGGTAGGACTTGGTGTGCATAAGGGGCTTCTCTGGCTGGCAGGCAGGCCTGGACTATCAGCAAGACAGTGGGCTCAAGCAGCTTGATTTTGGTCCTCTTCATGGCTTGTGGGGCAAAGGCTTATTTATGTCCAGAAGGTCAGCTGTCCAACTGGGACAGAGAGCCCCTCTGAAGAGGAACAGAGTAAACAACTTGGACTCAGCTGAAACAGTGAGATAAGGCACAGAAAATGGGGAGATGGCCATGGGTACTGAGTGCGAGCCAGGCGGACACCCAACCCCAAGCGGTACACAGCTGTCCTGAGCCTTCCTGGGCCCTCTCAGATGCTCCACAACCCAAGCCCAGGCACGCATCCCCATCCCTGACACACCCCTGAAAGTACCAGCTGCTCAGACACTGCTAGAGGCCTCCCTAACACTGCTGAGCCTAACCCCTCACCTGCCATTTAGCTTTAGGACTAAAGAGTGTTGCCCAACCCACAGGGATGAGGTTAGTCCCAGCTCTGTCATTAATAATGCTGTGTGACCCAAGCCACTTAACCTCCTGGGCCTGTTTCCTTATTTGTAAAAGGAGAGGATTGCTGGAGTGAATGTTCTCTGAACCCCATTCCAGCTGCCAAAGCCTCTGGTTTTAATTCTCAATCTCATTGGCTTCTGACCATCTTAACAGCCTGATGTTTCCAACCTTTGGGTTTGGGAGCTAGGCATCTCCAGCCTTGCACAGGATGAGTTTCCTTTACAGAAAGGACAACACCTCCCTGACGAGCCATGGTCTGTGGGCTGCCAGCTGGGGCCCTGGTGGGGACCAAGAAAAAGCAGCAGCCTATAGGATCAAGTCCCAAGGCAGAACTCTAACAGAGCACAGGGCCAGGGCCCTGACCTCATCACCAGCAGTTGGTCCAATTCAATCATTTCTCTTGTTGTCCAGCTGTGTGCCCAGCAAGGCCTGGTGGGCATTGAATAATATCTCAGGCCGTCCCAACCATTCCTGTGTCCACTGACAGAGAGCAGGAGTTTGCCCAGGCCAGATCCAGGCAGGGACTAGAAGTTCAACTTCTGACCTTGCCTTTTGCAGGAGCTGCTTGTGTGCTCCCTCCCACTGTGAAGCAGCTAGGGAAATCCCAGCCCCTCCTGGTGCTCCTCTGGGTAGGCCTCCTTCCTTTCCTCCTCTTGGGCAGTCAGTCCTCTCCACAGATGGCCCACCCAAGTCCTGGCAGCCATCTCGGCCCTTATTCTCCTGATTCCCTGATGGCAGTTCTGGGACTGTTTTTTGTGACAATCCATCTGACAGAGCTGGTGGGACATTTATAAAGCCCATGAGGTCCCTTCTTCCGGCCATCAAATATTCATAACAGTCTTTCCTTAAGAGTGGCTAGGGCCAAGCTGCAGGGAGCTGCCTGGCACAGCTGCAGTTGAGGCCTGGCCTAGGGGGTCAAGGGTTCCCTCCACTCCAGCGACCAGCAGCCCAAGAATCTGCCTCCACAAGGTCCTGGCTTCTCAACAGAAAACATCGATTCCATCCAAGCTGTGCAGAGACGGTGAAGATCCAGGCAGGAAGAAGGCAGCCCTGTGTTCAAGGGCCTCTGTCCTGGGGATGGAGACTTTCTCCTCACAGCCTGACACACAGCAGCTCTCAGGTCAAAGGCAGGTAGTTTCCAGGCAATTAGGTTAGAGTAAATGAATTATTTGGCCATCTTAACAACAAAGGGAGGCAGGATGTTGAAAAGGGAAGAAACAGAGGGGCAAGGCAGGCAGTGAGAGGCAGGGTAGAATGGTAGATAGCGTGCTGGCCAAGGACCCTCCACTCCCTTGCTTTGCTAGGTAGCACTGGGCCAATTCCTCTCTTCTTTGGACCCCTGGCCCTGCAAGTTCTCTGCTCAGTTCCGCTCTCATAGGCCTAGTGACTCACACCTCTTGGATGTGGCAAATCAACTTAGCCTGACCTGTCCACTAAGTGCCACGCCCCCCCGCCACCCCCCGCAAGCCTACTGGGCTTCCCTAGGCTGCAGCTGGGCTTGTGGCTCAACAAAGGGGAAGCCTGAAATAAACAAATCACTTGGCTGAGGTTACAGAGATGATTCCTTTTTAATGAGTTGGACTCAAATAAAAATGTATGGTGTCTGGACAGCCTCACCCAAGAGGTGCTGGACCACTAACACTACGATAAATACTGTGTCTTTTTTTAATATATATATTTATATATATAATCTCATTTTTTAAAATTTTTTTTTACTTATGAAAATAATAAGCTATCACCAACTTGGATAGGCTTCATCACTAAATTAGCAGAAACCAGCTCAGCACAAACTCTCCAGAGATAAATACTGGTGGCTCATTCAGGAGGGAAAAAAAAGATTAAAAAACCCCAACCCCTCCTCAAAACAAAACTCCCCTTTCAAAGTAGAAGGCTCTACATGAGAGTAACCAGCCAATACTGTGTCATAGGCCGCTGCACGTGAAGGGGGTAAAGTGAAAGAATGAGGGTGGGGAAAAAGGGAGGAAGGGAGGGAAGGAGGGAAGGAGGCCGGCCAGGCAGGAGGAGTAGACTCTGCCCATGGCTTCCAGGTCCCTGTGCCAGGTGCCTATGGAGGGCCAGGCTGCTCTAGCCCTGGGGCTGAGGGAGGGCCAGGCGGGGCCAGCCAGCGTGGTCAGCTAGTGCAAGTAGTCGTCGACTCTGGCGAAGGAGCAAGATCCCAGGCCCGCTCGGGCCATTAGCCGTAGACATTCAGATGCCTGGCCCAGGGCGAGCATCAGAGGGGGCTGCTTTGGCAGGTTCTGAGACTCTGTGGAGGAGGGAGAAAAGGCCTGGTCACTGCCCTGCCCCAGGGCTTGGGCCCAAGTCAAAGTTCCCTTGGGTACAGAAGGTGGGGTAGTAAACAGAATTTCTTGGAACACAGTGTTCATGTGTCCCAGCCACCAAGCCATGGCCCTGCAGCCATGCCAGGAACCTGAGGACCTCAGCTTTCTTCAGAGCAGTGGACTGGCCTGGGCCCACAGTCACAGGGCCCATCACGATCTAGCCAGACCACTCAGCTGGGCAGAGGGAGGTTAGGGTTTAAGTTCAGCCACAGGAGCCCAAGAGTCCTGTGGGCCACCAAGGAGCTCCTGGGCAGAGCTCACAGCCCTGATTTGAATAAACATCAGCAATTTCTAGGGAGAGAAGGGAGGGGGGCCACCCCAGGCACTCATGGCCAGCTTCTATTTTTGTTAGATCCACTTACCTAAAATGGCGCTGTTGAGGGCAGCGCACACAGGCTCCCTCTGGATGGGGTCAAGCTGCTGGCCAACTGGGCAGCTCCAGGGATCTGAGTATGCCAGCAGGCTAAAGGCATCCTAAGGGACAGGGCACTCTTGAGAGGATTATGTCACACACCACACACATACCTCCATGGCTCCAAGGGGATACAGGGCCCTGCGCTGTGCCCAGTGAGGGTACAACATACCCTGCTGTAGGGTCAGGCAGAGCTGTGTCCTCCCCAGAGCCTAGAGAGGGTGGGGTACACACCGGAGGTCCCATTTCCCATTGCAGACTTGACTGGAGCCCACTTTGCCCTGTTGCTGCTGTCCCAGAGTCACCCTGCCCCCAACACCAAATGGGGGCCCACTCTGTATGAGAGCCTGGCTTGTTCTGTACCTGTAGCATCTCCGTGTGGGCCAAATTCTTGCCGTACTCCCGGCCCAACTGCTCACTCAGTGCCTGCAACTCACGGCCAAATAGGATTATCCTTTCTGTGGCAGCCTGGTTGCCCCCGCAGAGCTGTCGCCGAGGATGCCCATCGTCTGCACCCAGAGTCCAGCAGAGAACACATCAGGAGGGGTGAGGGGAAAAAGGGAGGGCTCAGGGGGATCCGAAAGAGAACGTGGCAAGAAGGACCTGAGGTGGGGGGGGCTGTAGCTTCTGCTAGAGACAAGTGAGGGCTGGCAGGAGCAGGGCCATCTATAGCTGAGGGGCTCTTAGTCCACCTAGCACATGCTCTAAGAGTCAAACGGGACTCCGAAGCTTTCCCTCTTCCCACCCAGATGCATGGGTGCTCGTAAGAGTGCCCACTTTCATCAATTCCCTCTAGCTTCAAACGCAGTGGCCCTGGTCTTGGCAGTAGGCCAGAGCCTTCCCTCCTTAAGCACCTACTCATGATTAGCTGAGGAGGCAGTGGGCCAGGTCTGGCTAGAGCCTCTTAAGCTGCCAAAGCCTGCCTGTCCCAAACCCCTCCCAGGAGGTAAGGGCATTTGGACTGAGCATTGCTGCCAATGGAACACCATGCTGGCCCTCACCCATGCTGGACTCATCTGTCTGCAGGTCCTCATGCTTGTAGGCACCATTGACGATGCGTGTGGACATGCTCTCTAGCACACCATTGGGGTAATGCTCTGCGTCCATCTCCATCTCACTGTCGCTGTGGAGAAGGGTTGGGGTGGGAGTTGGCCAAGGGGATGTGGCTAGAGCAGCCTGGTTGGGCCTCCATTCAGGCTTTAGCTACAGGTTGCTGTGGGTAAAACGAGGGCCCCAAGGATCACGAAAGGACAGCTCAGGCTTCCCAGACTCCAACATCTGACCCCTACTGTGACGCCAACTATCCCCAGAAGCCTGTCACCTGATTCTCACTCTTGTCCCAATGCTGCCTCTGGGCACTTCCACTCCTTGGGCCTTCTCCCAGTTGACACACTCCTAGACATCCCCCACCCCCAAATGACCAGGGTCTGTGAGCCCCAATATGCATCTCTGGAAGCCAAACCCAGGTCAGCCCTGAGGCATACCTAGGGGCTGTTGATAGCCACCTATAGTCTGTAGCTTAAAACCCCTGCCTGCCCAACCTGGCTGACCACAAGCCATGCCCAGTAAAAGCCCTTCAGTATAGGCCCTGGGGGTTTCTAAGGCCTGGTCTCCTTGGAAGAGACCACATTCTTAGTCTGGCAGTGTCAGCGCCTCTGAAGAAAGACAGGGCCAAGGAAAGCGGCAACTGAATCATGGACAGGGCGAGAAGCTGAAGCCAATGCCTGGCAGGTCTGCAGCTACTACTCCAGGCATAGACCTGGGGGGTGGTGGTGGTGGTGGTGGTGTGTGTGTGTGTGTGTGGG